CCACCTGCCCCACAGCCCTGCCCCCTCTAACAGCATCCCTGTTAAGGTTCAGCAAGACACTCAAACCTCCAGACCTTTGCACCCCCTCCCACAGCTGGGAGCAAGGCTCAGCTGTGGCAACAGAACCCAGGAGCCAGCAGAAGCTGAAGTTCTCTGCACCCTGGTTCAAAGCTAAGCAGCTAGGGAAGAAAACCTAGATCAAACCATTTTATTATAACAACTTGTGCAAAAGCTAAGCCAAAGGGAAGGGTTATTTCCTTGCAGTGTTTCAAGGATTTCATCAGGTGAGATACAAACTGGAGCCCTCTGATACCTTTTTGATAGTGTTGTGCTTGCTGCTGCCTCGGCTGGCGTTCTCGTTGTGCAGTATATCCAGGGCTGTCTCCCTCTCCTTCAGCTTCAGTGCCTCAATTTCTGTCTTTAGCTCATTCAGCTGCTCCTGTAGGTGTTTGCTCTTCTCCATGTACTCTACCCTAGCACAGGCAAAAGAGCCCTGGGTTAGTACTGGCCAGATGCACAGTATTGTGCAGGTCATGATACTGCGTCAGGGAATCGTGACAGAAAAAGAGGCTTATTTTCATCAGCTCTGGGGTGTGGAACTGACAACATGAGTTTACAGCACATAATAAACTACTCTGAGCAATGATTTGTTTGTTACTAATTGTGTTCAGTTCTGGAGCACTCAGCATAAGAAGGATGTGGAGCTCCTGGAGAGAGTATCGAGGAGGCCACAAAGATGCTATGAAGGCTGGAGCAGCTCTGCTCTGGAGCCAGGCTGGGAGAGTTGGGGTGTTGAGCCTGGAGAAGAGAAGGCTCCAGGGAGACCTTAGAGCAGCTTCCAGTGCCTGAAGGGGCTCCAGGAAAGATGGGGAGGGACCTGGGACAAGGGCTTGTAGTGACATTACAAGGGGAAACAGATTTAAACTGGCAGAGAGGGGAATGAGATGGGACATGAGGAGGAAATTCTTTGCTGTGGGGGTGGTGAGAGCCTGGCCCAAGGTGCCCGGGGAAGCTGTGGCTGCCCCATCCCTGGCAGTGTTGAAGGGCAGGTTGGATGGGGCTTGGAGCAGCCTGGGCTGGTGGGAGGTGTCCCTGCCCATGCAGGGGGTTGGGGCTGGATGGGCTTTAAGGTCCCTTCCCACCCAACCCGTTCTATGATTCTAAAAAGAATCAGACAGCAGACCCTAGAAAAAAATCTCTAAGTTCTGTTACTATAAAAAAAAAAAAAGCCAAACTAGAGCTGCTGGATGATATTTATACATCCCCCCATTTCCAAGTGGAGCTGCACTGTGACACAGGTGAACATTCCACAGGTCTCCAGGACAGTGGGTTAAGCAGTTCTGCTCTACTTCACTGCACCCTCTCTCAAACCCAGCTCCCAGACTCCCAGGCACGAATCCTTCCAGGAAGGCAGGACTCTGTTCTGCTGACTTCTCATGTTTTAGAGCCATCTAGCTTGGAAAATGTGTGGGAGCAAATACTGGCCCCAAAATAACAGGGATCTTTTAGACACACAGAGTCCCTTGGAGACAGAAACAACTCCCAGGATAAGAACACCCAAACCCCAACCATTCTCAGGGCTTGGCCAGAAAAGATGAAGCCTTCCACGAGGAAGCATCAACTGGTGAAAAATCACATCATGCCAGACTTGTATTGTGATTAAACACTGAGACCCAGGTCAAAGTGCCAGCAGCATAACAAGAACCTTTCCAGAGTGCCAAAATTTGTAGTGGGGCTTATTTCAGTGCCTGAGGAAGAAGCAGAGTCCCAGAGAAGGCAGGGAAAGCAGAGCCAAACTCTTCCTGCTTTGGAGAGTGGGATGACCTAGTTAGCAACCTGGGTACAGAACCAGGAATTATCTAGTCATTTTCAGCTGCTATCTTTTCCCTTCTAGCTTTAAGACAAGTTTTCAATCTCTGTCTCTAGCAGAGTGGTCTGTTATTCCATACAAAGGAGAGGGTACTCAAAATTAACCACCTTCTGGGCTTCAGGGGTGTTTCATTCCAGCCCTGGGAAGTTTTGGCCCGAATGCTACGGCAGAGCCCTTCTAGCTTTGATCTACAACCCAATCAATAAGCAAAGCACAATATTACTACAGAGATTAAAATCTGATCTGCTTTGATTTCTGCTAAATTTGTAATTTTGAAGGCTAGACTCACACCCTGAGGAAAACAGGAGATCAAAGCTCCCAGCCACAGCCCAGCTTGCTTGCGCTCGCTTTTTATAGATAAACATGACACAGATTCCAAGAAAAGGGGGTTAAAGCCCTAACATGGGACTTCAGCACAGACTCCCAACTATCCTGACACTTCTCTGGATGTGCTGCAAATGCAAGTGAAGCAGCAAGCAGCCTGCTGTTAACTCTTTATACCAACACGTGGTTAAAGCCTTAGCCACTGGGAGAGGTGGGTGCAGGGCTCAGCCTGCTCAAACACACCTTGAGGCAGGAGCAGGGATGCATCTGGGACACCAGTCCTCACCCAGAGTAATGGTCAGCAGCTACTAAATGAACCTGAAAGACTTCTCTTTTCACCTGGCACCACTGCTTGTCTGGGCCATCAAAGTCCCACCCAGCCCCGGGGCAATTCCTCCCATGGCAACCGGAGCACAAATCCCAGCCCTGGTCTGGCCACCACTTACTTCTCTTTCTCGATTTCCATGGAAAGCCTCTTCATGTCCGTGTCTTTGAAGTCAAAGGAGAGGCTCTCACTGATGAGGTTGAAGCTCGGCAGGTCTGTGGGCAGTGCTGTTGTACTGGAGTTCATGGACTGCTAGAGAGAGAGCACAAATGAGCCACTGCTGGCCACAGAAGTGTTCCTACAGCCAATGTTCTGCAACACAGAGGTAAAACCAGAGCAGCACCTCAGCACAAGGTGCTACTCACTAGTGCTGTAATCAGGTCCTGATCTGTTACTCACTCAGGTAACAAGACACACCCCAGAGCTGGGTGTATTCTACCTTCCAGAGGAGCTGAACTGGAGATCGTGCACAGGGAAAGGGACAGGGCACAGGTAGTCCTGGTGCAGTACAGCCCCACCAGTCTGAACCAGCCTCAAACTGGAGAGCAGATTGTTTCTAGAGAGCAGGTTCTGAGGCTGTTCTGCAGCCAGTCATCTGTTCCCACAGAAGATGGGGAGCACCCCAAGGCACTGCAGGAGCAGAGCACCAGACAAGCCCAGAGTCCCAAGCACCAGCTCAGCCCAAAGATCCCTCTTGCTCCTTTCCCAATTTGCTCTTCAATTCAGAGCTATTGCTCCTCTGGGACCCAGCTCTCTGTGGTAGAAGAAGTGCTGTCCCACTTAGAACAATGCCAGACAGAAGCTGCCTGTTGGGAGACATCCAACAGCTACTTAACATCAAATCCAACTTTACAAGTGCAAGCTGTGAACAGGGGCAACGTGAGACCCTGGAGGACAGCAGAGTCCTGCACTGCTCCCCTCAGTGTGAGCAAAGACCAATGTAACCCCAAGGGTTAACTCAGGATGCAATTTCAGTCAGGTTCATAGAGATGCATCAAGACATTTAACTCTTCGAAGCAATTTACAGTCCCAAGTGTTTAGGAACCACTGCTGGATTCAGTTGGAAATGCAGAGGTAACACAGGGAATCACTCCTATCACACCTGGTGTGACTCTTCCTCCTGCAAAATGCTGCGAGATCCCCCACTGACACACACTGCCAGGCCCTCAGGTTTTATTTTCCCCTAAAAAAATAAATAAATGCCCTTTCTCTCAGTCAAAAATTCTGCCACACCTCTAATAAATGGGCTCATTATCAGCAGAAAAAAAGCATCCTGACTGAAATCATCACTCTCCTCTTGCAGAATGTTAGCTGAGCCACACGTCAAGGGTGGCACAGTGGCTTCAGATGGCAGACAGTGCACGTGGATCTGAGTCAGAGCTGCTGCCAGCAGCTCATTTCAGGCACAAGAAATCCAGGCTGGCCTCCAAAAGGTCACCCACCTCTCTGCCAGACACTCCTTCTTGCTTTAAGGGTTTCTTGTAATGAAAATAATGTCCCCAAACCAGCCTGGACTGAGGGATGGCAGGAGACAGCGCTGCAGAGTCTGGTACCTGCCCCAGTAAACCAGATCTCAGGCTTCAGCTGGTTATTTCTCTCCCTCATTTCTTCTACATGGGATACTCTGGGGATTGTTTGCAGTTAGCTCTGCTTGAACAAGAACCACTAGCATCGGGTGGTGACAGATTTACTCTGCACCATAACCTGCCTCTTCCCTCCCCACAGCCTGGAATTCACAAACAGCCAGGACTCGTCCCCTACTCCCTCTCCAGCTGGACAAACAGGCACGAAATTTCATCCACCCTGCAGAGCCAAAGCTGGAATGCAGACACCAGAGTACAAGAAGAAACAAGGTGGCACCTGAAACTGCTCTGCTCCTGGCTGGAGCCTTCCAGGTAAGTCAGACTCCCCCAAGGAAACACCATTTCTTCCTCTCCTCGGCGACAGCTGCTGGCGCAGAGCGCAGCCACATTAATTCTGGAGCAGGAGCTGGAAAGGACAACTGGGCACCTCAATTCCAGTCTCAAAGGAAATGGGACAGGTCTGCCAAAGCACTTAACTGATTTCAATACTTGCATCACATTGACATTCAGGTCCCTTCCCTGTAAGGCACACAGGTGTTCACAAAGCCCTTCCTACGTGAGGTTCTGCTGTGCAGGGGAGCCAGGATCACCAGAACCAGCCTGCTGGCCTTCAAATCACCTTCAGCATGTTTTTCAGTCCAAGCTTGTTGGGCTTTCTTCTTTTTTTAAAAAAAAACAACCCAACACCAAAAACCACAAACCCAAACAGCAGCAGTAACAGTTGAGCAGGAATTTGAGTTGCTGCAATCATTAAGTCCAGATGCCAATTTGTCAGGGTTGCTACAGCCACTTCCTCGCCTCTCCTCAGCACGGCTCTTTCGGGAAGCACTGAAAAAACTGGTGGAGAAGTCAGAGAGCTGCAGCAGTGAGGAAGAGCACGGGAAGTGCAAAGAGCATGCTGAGGGCCTCCAAAGGCACAGGCTTAACCTGGAGCAAATAATTTCCCTGCCTTTTGGAACAATCCCAGGGAAGTCTTGCACGAAGCGCAGAGATTTTTAATCCAGGGGACACGGGATATCGCTGGGACGTGGGATGATAAAGGGGACACAGACCTTTTCCCTTGGGTGTTTCCTCACCTGGAACACAATGCACAGCCCTGCTACTGCATTAAAACAATTCCCTGCTGTTAATAGAGGCAAGCACCACACTGACAGTGGCCATCCCTCTGGAGTACAGAACAGGTAAGACAGAGGAAGCAAAGAGCAAGACGTGTCACGCCAGCTCCTCCTCTTGCTGCCACTGCCTGTTCTTGGCTGCTCAAGAATTTGGGCAAGCCCAAAACAGCCACCTGCTACTTCAAGAGGATCAGAGAAGAGATGCCTGCCTTTAGTCTTGCCATGAGTGGTACCTGAAGGGCAATGAAGGAGGCAAAGAGCTGTTGCCAAGTCAGGAAAGAATGAATTGTTCTCCCAGCCCTGATGGTCTGAGACTCAGCTTCACGTCTTCTCTCTCATGCATCACCTACCAGTCCCATCACAAAAGCAGCCTGGGCTTCAAGGACTAAAAAGACACTGAAACAAGCTTGAAAGAACCTGCATGGGAGACTGGAAAGTTACAGGGGAAAAAAAAACAACACCAAATTAACTGTTTCTTGCCTTTTCTGCAACGCATCCATCCACTTCCCCTGTCCTCTCCTGCTCTTGTTCCCCCCAGGGTAGCCCCGTCTGGGCTCCCAGTGCCACAGACACACACACAGCACAAGTATTGGGACCACAGAAAAGAAGAAACTCAGCATTAGCCCCTCATTAAGGAAAGGAGGAGCTGGAATCCTGTGCTGTTTGACAGAGCTGCCATTCACCTGAGGGACAGGAGCCTCCCAACAGCAGCTTTCAGAACTGCTCCATCCCTCAGGCCACCCTGGGCTCCCTCCCTCCCCTGGGCTGTGCTCACCCACTGGGTGCTGGCAGGGGAGGGAGGTTGGCTCAAATCCAGTGCAGGAACAGGATCTCTGCACATCTCACCAGTCTGCCCCAAACACAAAAGCAGCAGAGCCATGAGAGAGGCCACAGGGGAAGGGAGAGGTGAGACTGGTGTGAAAGGGGATAGAAGGGCCAGAAAGGTGTTGCCACACTTGCCTCTTCTTGACCTTGGAATACAAGAGTCTGTGTGACACTGGGCTTCTCCTAGGGGTGGCTGCTGCATAAGGGACCCTGCCACCCAAGTGGACAGGACAAAAGCACGTCCCCATCCTCCCTGTCCCCATCCCTCCCTGGCCTCAGCAGCCACCTCAGGAAGGCCAGGGCTCTTCAGGGAAGAGAGGAGGCAGAGCCATGTGTCTGGAGGAGGTGGTTCTGCACGGATTGCCTGCAGGCAGATGCAGCTGGAGGGGTGGAGCTGAGCTCCATGCATCC